TGCCTATAAAATTCATGTAGGCTTATATAAATCATTGTTGTACAGTATACAGTGCAGTTATACAAACATATAAAAACAATAGTATTGACATTGATTGAAATATTTAGATCTTAATTGTACTTCGGTAAGTCCGACTACGATTTATTGAAGCGTATTTCAACCTTTGCATATTTTAAGAAGATGAATTGTAGTGTTAATACGTAATGACATTGGAATATTGCTTATTTCGCACGTATATCTCCTCATCGAGCCCTTGTCCTTAATTAATTGTGGGATTTATAATTACAGATATGTAGTTTTGGCGTGTTTATGACGTGAATGCTGTACTCGTGTTCGTTTTTTCTGTCACATCTGCGGCTTCATGATTTTCCTTCGAGCAGCCGAATGCAATAACGAACGCTTTCCGATAACGTGCGTTCATGGCTTTGTAGATTAACGGGTTCACAACTGAATTACAGTAACTCAAGAGGCGAGTGAATAGAATGCATATTCTGCGGCCCTCTGGAGTAAGGAGGCGCTTCGTTCGATGACTATCAAACATCATTATCACCGACATTACGTTGAACGGTGACATGAGGGCGAAGAACACGGTTGTGTTGACGATGAGCATCATGGCAACTTGGTTACGAATTATACGGCTCGTTTTTGCTTGCGTCTCACATTCGTCTTTAGACTTGTTTGTTAGTTCTTTAATGATTAGCGAATATAAAACAACATTCACAATAAGGACAACGAAAAATGGTATTGCGCGTAACATGTCACCATAGATACGAGCTATGATGTGTACGTAACTGCAAGCGGCCCACTCGGTTGGCAGATAATCGTACTTCTCATCATCGGGCCATATTAAACAATATGACGTTAATTTACAAAAGGCTGGTGTCATTGTTAGGCCAAGGCATGCTGAGATGATCCAAATAGAGACGATGATATTACGGCTAAGATGACGACGATCTAGTCGGGCTGACCTGTACGGATGGCAGATCGCGTAGTAGCGTTCAGCAGCGACTGCCGTTAGCAGAAACTCGCAGGTGAACAAAGTTGTATAGTTTAAAACGTTGAGGGCGATACAGCTAAATGTAGATCTCGAGGAGTGATCCGAGTACAGTTCCGAAGTGTAAAAACTCCACAATTTGTCGGAAATGACGACGATAAGAAACAGCATATCACCAACGGCTAGATTGACGAGGTACGCGTTGGTTACCGTGCGCATTGAGCGTACTTTACCTACGACGTATAAGAATGACATGTTTGTCGACAGACCAAGTACCAATATTATGGGTAGCACTACTGAAGTGATGACTTCCTCAAGTTCAAGATATAGCATCCGAGGGGCGAAGTCCTCGGTTAGCGGGTAGCAAACACTGTCATTTATCGGTTGTGAGCTATTCGTGTTGTTAACAAAGAGTGTGTCCGTGTATTGTGCACTGATACTTTCTCTGATGAGCTCAAATATGAAGCGACTGCTTGCCATATCTACCAAAGGTGTGATAACTTTTCCTCATCGATATCCTATCAAGATACAAAGAATGTGATAAAATTGGAGATCCTGTTTTTCATTCAAAATTAGGGCTTTCATTTTATTGATCCCTATATCGTACGAGTACATAAAGGACTAGTGCTGTTCCGTTCTCACGTATGAGAAGCCAAATTTGTTATTTCATGGAAGAATACCGCCACTGTTATATTGCATTCTGGCTGTGACAACTAGTTTTACTCTCACTGATCACAATATCTTTAATATAAACCATATCAAATAAATGTTTGTTTGTGATAGTGAAAGGTCATACAAAATAAGCAACGCTTTGAGTAGGCCTATCTATCCTAACGGATCAAGAATAATAAAAAGTTATATCATGTATTCATTGAGAAACAATTGGATATAAATAAATAAGGGAACAATGCAAGTTTAGAATACTGGATATGAAAAGGCATTTTTTTGATTGATCACAGAGTGTGATTTTTCAGGGGGGGGGGGCGACTTGGGAGAATTTGTTTTTTCTGGGGACGGAGGAGTCATGTTTGATCACAAATAAAGCATATTGAGAGATACGAATAACCCTTCAGGCTTGTTACTGATCTTACATAATATAGGCATATATATATATATATATATATATATATATATAAATTAAAAGACAAAATACAACTATGTGTGGGAAACAATGGCTGGATCTCGGTAGAGATACACATTTGATAAGCAACAGCTGAAATGTAAACGTAAGTAAACAGCCATAAATAGAAACACAGTTTTTCCTTAGTGGTTGTATATGGATGTATATATAGATGTATATATGTATACATATATACATATAAATCATATATATACATCATATATATACATATATATACATACATATACATACATATATATACATATATACATATATATATATATATATACTATATATATTTGCTATATATATATATATATATATATATATGGTAGTATATATAATGTTTTAATATTTTAACGTTATCATGAGGTTCCACTGCCATCATTATTAAAACAGAGAAAGAGCGATGATGTTGAAAACTGAGGCAATTGTTTTTCTTCTCTTTTGTAGTAGTTTAAGTGATTTTTGGAATGTTTTCAAATGAACAATGAACAATTCTTATCTTATCTTTAGAGCGGATGTTGATATTCCTTTCAGTATGTTTTAACATAACCCTAAAGTTCAGAATGATTATGCTTCGGTTTTACTCAACCTATGAATATATTTTAAACAATCATTAAAAGCCTATACTTCGACTTATCTGGTTGTCAATAACTTATATTTATTTTCGTTACTAAAGAGACTCATTTTTAATATCTTGAATTAACAAGTCAAGTCTGATGCCACTATCATGACTTGTCAGAAGCAGCCACATAACATATTTTGTTTATAAATTATTATTATTATTATTGACATTTTCAATTTTGTATTCTTCTTCTATCCTGTCCACAGAAACATTTTATGTTTGTAGATACCGTAAGAGGACAGGGGCGAGAGATGTCCAAAAGGTGGGGTGGGGGGGGGGGGGGGAAGTTGGGCTGATCGAGACAACACTGTACTAGAGGGTCCGGGGGCATGCCCCCTTCGAAATTTTTGTGTTCTAGACGCCAGAATATAACATTTGAGGCGTTCTAGGCTATCATTTTTTATTTATTTATTTATTTTTTTGTTTTTTACCTCCCAAAGGTGAGGGCCGGGGCCGGGCTTCCCCCCCCCTTTAAATCCGCCCCTGGGGCAGGCCCTACAAAAGACCCTCTGTGGTCTAGTCTACATGACAATGGTGATACAAGTGTTCCTTCTATACCTTGAGGTTGTGTTTGGTGGTAGAATTGGCGTTACCCAGGACCGTGACGAGGACGCTTCTACCATGACCTCTCTACTGTATATTAACACCAAATTTTAAATAAAAACAAAGAAACAGGAAACTTACCAACTAGATACTTTTCTAAGCGATGTTGTATCGGTAAAATGGTGTTAAGTTCTGAAGCCCCATCGTTCAACGAAGTTAGATAACTAACCTAAAAAATACGTCACTCTCTAAGTACCGGTATACTTAATAATTACCGTACAGATACTTAATATTTGTACTTGATATCAATTACTCACTAAGTACGGCTATCAGCCGTATGCTATATCACAACCCGTACACCTGTTAATTAACAAAATACTGTACAAGCCTAATCTCGAGAGCGTGGGTCTAACAGATATCGCAGAGTTCCGCTCTGCGCCTTAATTACTTAGGCCACATCAGGGCATCGATTTACCATTACAATATCAGCAAGGTCAGGTTTTTATATTTTGAAAATGTTTACCAAAGTCATAAGTACTTGGAGAGCGTGTTGTTGATCACACTTGAAATAAAATTAATAGTTGCGTTTTCTTGGCAACTCGCGTGTTCTGGTGGAATGCGATCGACACTATTTTAATGTCTTAAACTTCACGTTATATAAAGATCTACTCCTACTCGTCCACTCAGCATCTGAATCAATCAATCAATCAATCAATCAATAGTGTTCTGCAACTATGCAACTCGAATGTTCGTTATATAACTCGTCTACTCTGCATTTGGATCAATCAATCAATCAATCAATTTATAAGGTGCATTATAAGTCAATCGTGACGTCATCACTGTAACTTCTAATGTTATTTTCCTATCCCAAGCCGTACACTATTTTTTTTTATTAGTGCACGGTTCGCTTGACCTTTTTCGGTTTGTGTGCGAAAGTTCACAACGACTAAACAGTTACGGTATCTCAATGCGCCAAATGATAATAAGTGCGTAGAGCTATGAACGACCACACCAGAAGATTTTTCATGATCTCGACTTCAGGCGAAGAATTTTCCCATTAATTGTAATCGCACGGGCGTTCGGGCAGCGGTGATCATCCTTTTCACTTGCTATACCAAAATTGCAGTAATGGCCCACCCCAAACTATAACAATGCTACTGACTTTTACAAAACCTAACTTAAAATTTTAGAAAATAGTCACGAAAAATAGGATGTACACAAAATGTATTATTTAAGCAATTTTGTGAAATTAGATTCTTCGAAATTTGGTTGCTCAAGTTCTGGTCCTTTCTTCATCAGAACGGCATTCTTTGCCTGGATTTAGTGTTAGCAAATTCCTAATCTCTTCCAATACACATGGTGTTATATTTGACATATGGGAATTCAAAGATAGAATACAAACATTTTATTATTTAGTAAGGGCATCGGTATTTCCACCATCCCCCTAAATGTTCTCTCATAATCAGTTCCTTTATCTCTATCACCTCAATCCAGCCTAGCCAACATTTCTTTCTTCAATCCAATCATCTCCATAATCTATCATCATCACTTTCATTTCCATCATCTATATTTTCAGACCTTCCTACACTTAAAAATATAAATCATCTCTTTTATTTTTGTCATCTCCAACGTCTCCACCATCATCTTTATCATTCCCATAATCTCCTCATTCCATCGTCAACTTCAGCATCGCAACCATCGCCAACGTAGGCCAACCTGTTTGGAAGTACTGCGGTACTTTCAGTGTTTGGAAGTACTGCGGTACTTTCAGTGTTTGAAGTGCTGCGGTACTTTCAGTGTTTGGAAGTGCTGCGGTACTTTCAGTGTTTGGAAGTACTGCGGTACTTTCAGTGTTTGGAAGTACTGCGGTACTTTCAGTGTTTGGAAGTGCTGCGGTACTTTCAGTGTTTGGAAGTACTGCGGTACTTTCAGTGTTTGGAAATACTGCGGTACTTTCAGTGTTTGGAAGTACTGCGGTACTTTCAGTGTTTGGAAGTACAGTGTTTGGAAGTACTGCGGTACTTTCAGTGTTTGGAAATACTGCGGTACTTTCAGTGTTTGGAAGTACTGCGGTACTTTCAGTGTTTGGAAGTACTGCGGTACTTTCAGTGTTTGGAAGTACTGCGGCACTTTCAGTGTTTGGAAGTACTGCGGTACTTTCAGTGTTTGGAAGTACTGCGGCACTTTCAGATGGCAAAATGTACATTTAACTCGGGCACTCGCTGCACCTGAGTCGTCGGCCGACGTGATTCTAGGGAGAACGGAACGCCAAGATGCGCGCGCATCCGATCGTTTTTAATGACGATCCGTTCAGACTTCCACAGACAGTCAGCAGACGGTGTCGCGTCGCCTAGCGCTCACAGGGGAATGGAGTTGAGTTTGATTCGTCGTACGACCGCCATACGACGCAGTTTAGTATTTTCTCGGCTTTGCAGACATTATCAAGAGAATTAGGTTACCACGTAGTATGTAACGTTCCATAAGAAAATATTGATAGGAAAGTGTCACTAGCAAGAGAATGCCACGACATTCGTGGCAGCATAATGATTAGTAAGTGTCTCGAATATATTGCCGTTTCCAACAATAAAAAAAAACAAAGACGGCGCCATTTGATGATTATAATATAACACACACGCAAGTATTGTGATTCATTATGTGCTATGCTTTACGTTTGTTTACCAGAAATTATACTAGACATGGTTTACTTTTTGTTTGAAATGTTAGCGTACTATTTTTTTACTTTCAAAGAAATAATGGCAATATCGATTGTAATTCTTATTTTTCATATTTGTATATGTTTGAAAGGTTAAATCAGAGATTTTCTTCCCCCTATTATCAAGTGACTAGGTCTATTACATTGTTTGAAGTTCCCTTCTGTAGAACCACAAAAATGAAAAATTCATCTATCTCTACTATTGTTAACTTGCTTAATAAACAACATTAACTATTTGATGTTGCTTATTAAGCAAGTAACATTTTTTTTTCTAATCCCGTCTAGTGATGGATAAGTTGATTGGCCTCATTATTTTATCTTTTCATTAAATGCAGCTTTTTCTATGGGTGGTTTTTATGTGCAATATGTTCCTAACTTAATATTTTTTTTTGATTTTGTATTTGAAACAATTTAATAATTTGTAAAAATTCATATTTTTATATATTTAAATTTTCTATATCGATTGTATTTTATTGTTATTAATGTAATCTTTTGGTGTTAATGTATTATTGAGTCTAGTAATTTTTTAATGTGATTTTTCTTATTTATTTTAATGTTTTGTCCATTCTTGTTGCAGTTTTGTATATAATAATATTTTTAATATTCTTACTTTTTTTTAAATATATTCTAATTTTGTAAATACATTCATTTCAGCCTTTTGTATATTTTCTTTTATACCTGAATAAATAAATAAAAAGAATAAATAAGTTATAATTTGTAATAGACCTACTAGTAGATTTGTTGAATTATGTTATGCTGATTGACTGATTTTTACTCTACTTTTGTTCAATTCGTATTTTTTGTTGAAAGAAAATAATGTTTATTTTTTATAGTATAGACATTCTACAAACTTCGCCTACCAGTAGAGAGGTTTCGATTTTAGACAACGATATAAAGTAAAACATAAAATGACGTCATGTCATCTGCGTAAAGTGAAGAATTTGCGTTCTCGCTATTATATAAATTGACGATCATTTGCGCCGTATGTAAAAGCCTTAGGTTTAGAAAACGGAGAATTTAGTACAGCGCGGCATTTTTCGGTGACACCCAAATCCGTCATAGCGTCACATTTTCTTGTTGCCTAATTAAAGGCTCCCCAATAGAAAAAGTTTTGGCGACACGATGAATTAGAATTGAGGCTATGGAGTATGAGATTGGCAAATTAATATTTCGAGTACACGAGATTAAGTGGAATTTGCGACATGGACAAGTGTTTATCCTTGCACGCGACGGAGGTAAATTCCCCAAGACCACTCAGTTTTCGTGTACGGTTAAGAAATTGCGACGAAATCTTTCTTTATTTTCTTTTTTAAGTTTCGAGTATTTTAAAACTGTAATCATTGTAATCCTTTGTATAACTTTTATTTGGTAATTAGTCATCTCAATTCATTTTATTATAGTATGCAATAATCACTGAATAAAAATATACCAGAATATACTCTTATACACATCTAGATGTGTATAAGAGACAGTATATAATACCGGTAAGTTAGTTCCAAAAATACGTCATTGTCATTATCATTGTCAACACCTACACACACACACACACACACACACACACACGAATCTTGTATCTTCTTGTGTTTTGTATAAAATTTACAAACTCTATTGAGAACTGATCATACCTATCGAGTTTTACACATATTAGGACCATACCTCGGCCTACTTATCGAGTTCATTTCAGTCATTCACATTAAATTCACACACCAATATATATTGAATTCACACACGCGGAATGAAAAATACAAATTGGTCGATCTGCAGCGTGATTGTAGCCCGACTTTATACATCCTTGAACATCCATGACCTGAATGTGTTAAACATTTAGAAAAAAAAAACATTGGCATTATACCTAAAGTCTACAACAAGTTTAGTGAAGTCAGATATACTGTTTGATTTATTTAATTTTTTTTAGAGATGATTGCTTGTTATTGTTTCATTTTCTCAAAGCTCTTCTCGTGTGGCATATTGTGTCGTCCCTGATTGGTGGTGCTTCTCTAGAAGAATTATACTAGGCCTACTATACGAAGTACTAGAGTGCCTATTTACGAACGTTTTTCTCACCAAGCAAATGTAGGCCTAATGATAAATGTTATTGCTATTAACCAAAACTGACTATGATTAACAACTAAATAAATTATCTATTCTATGATTACGTTTGTAGTTTGCGCTGATAAATATCTAGCATAAGCGAATTATGCGCATGTTAATATTTTAATTACCTTAAATTGAGATGCTTAATGGCGGCCGGAAAATACATATGGACGAATTCACATTTGATAATATTTGTTAACTATCAATATGCGAGATATTTCCAGATAAGAAATTTGCCTTCTGATTGATTTTAATTGAATCTTTAAAGCGGTCCCACGAATCAAACGTCATTAAATGTGCGTGTTCAACACTTTAATAATCGCGTCTAAACTTAAATTAGTTACGCGCTGCATCGTAGCCAATCAATGGATTCAGCAATCGGGATGTTCCTATTACGACACAAGCTTATATGGAAGGATGAATGATGACGTAATTTATTAAATAACCTGTAGCCACTTTAACTAGTACGTAATGTTACGACAGATAATGATGCGATTGTAGCGCTGCTACGTGACACACCACTCTGGAGCTAATGTATACTTAATAGTAGTTACGCTAAGAGGGGATAATTCATTATAAGGTCTAAAACCATAAACTAGAACAAAATCAACTGTATTATAAACGATTATGCCCGCGGAGTACTTGACCCACGCGTAGAAACGTTACTTAAGTACTCACACAAGACTCAACCGCGTGGAGGTAAAAAAACGATTACCAGATTAATTTGTTCGATGATTGTTTACATATCGTGAGTAAAACAATGCAAACTAGCATTTGTCACATTTAAACTTCATTAAACAATGGCAACATGAAAGTAATTGTATCAACCAAATTGGCGGAGATAATGATAATTTGCTCAACATACCAGACGATGTTTTGGTTAGTATCACTCAGCTTGTCATAACTGGACAGAAACATTGAAGAAGGAAGACGTATGTTGTTATACTCGGGTTATCTTCTTTAAAAGGAAAGACTTACATCATAGGCCTACCATTAGTTTCAGCCTATAATAGAAGATCAGAGAGTGTTCTAGCGAAGCCAGAGTTGGACTCATCGAACCGCCGATTACATTGAATTGCACAACCAGATCGTCTTAATGGAAAACTTAAATGAAACAGATTTTTTAGACTATTGTGCTGAGAATAACTGGACACTAATGAACTTGTCGACTCCTTCTGCCGCCGAGAGGTTGATCTATACCGATGCAGATTTCGTCATCACTGCCATCATCATGCCGATACTTTTAGTACTCGGTTGGATCACCAACGGAGCGTTTCTATTCGTAGTATATCGCGTCAAATATATGCACACGATAACAAACCTCTACCTTGTCAATCTGTCTATAAGCGACGTCGTATTTCTGAGCTTTGCTATAGGAGATAAACTATGGAGATACGCAACCTCCGATGTGTACATGGACAATGTTGCAAAAGAGTTTGTGGATATATGTATGATGTATCTGTTCAAAAACATCGCTTATTTTACAGGCCAGTTTCTGATAAGCCTAGTTGCCCTAGACCGTTATAATGCTGTGTGCAGGCCGCTTCAACAATATAAGGTGAACAGCCTCACCCGAGCGGTCTCTTTGATCGTTTCTACCTGGTGTTTTGCTCTAGTTCTGGCTGCATCCATGACACCTGGGTACATGGACCGAAAGACCAAGTGCATACTTTGGCCAGACGATGAAATGTACGACCACTACCCTGACACGTATGTTTACTTCGCTCCAATTTCAAATGCGGCAAAAGTTTACGCGGAAATTATTCAAACCGTACCGTTTTTTATTAACATGATATTCGAAACAGTACTGTATGTTCTGATAATATGTACCTTGCATTCGAGAGTGACATCGCGCGTAAGTAATGGCATTACTGGTGGAAAGCTCACGGAAATCCGAAATCAAGTAACGCGAATGTTGATTATAAACGGCGTAGTGTATATTCTTCTGTCATCGCCGTTCCAAGTATATTCCTTGATGAGTGTTCTTAGCACGTTTCGAGATCCAAAACTTTCTCGGCCTCAACTGAATCTATTTTTACATATCGCGCGTGTGCTTGTATATACAAACTCCGTTGTGAACCCGATTATATATAACTTATCGAGTCACCGGTATCGAAAAGCGTTTGTCAGAGCGTTTAGCTGCAAAGGTTCAAAATCCTCCTGGGCTTCGTTCTGTATGACCGATACGACCCGCAGACAAAGAGCTGGAACTACTGCTACTACTACCAGCACCACCAGTTCTACGATTGTAAAGAGCGTCACACGAAAAACTAAAATGAAGCCAAATTCTTTAATTGGCAATGGTGAGAGTACGTATTTGTAAACTTCCAAATGACGTATCTAGGGGGAATGCGTCGTATCTAGGGGGAATGCGTCGTATCTAGGGGGAACGCATCCCCCTAAAGAAAAATACTCATGCCAAACCCCCTACCCTTTTGAAATTGAAAATATTCGAAACAAAAAATAACGCTCAAGCACATGTATACAAATCACCTTATTTTGTTAGCTACTCCCCCACCTAATCATCAAGTTCTCCCACCCCCAATTCACCTTCGCGCATCCCATCACTTCTCCCTATTCCAAGACCCCTGGATAGGCCTACGCCACTGCAAGACAACATTAATTCCTGCTACCACCGCATATCTGAAAACAGGTTGATTAAATAATTAATGCTCATTTCATTCAAATTCATTATGCTCTTTCTTATTTTCAAGCCTCAATGGTGTGTACTTTTAGGATAATGGACCTTTCCGCTAAGCCCCGCCCATTGGATATTGTTGCTAAGGTCCCACCCAAACACGTGCGTTTGTAGGACAACACGTGTGTTTGTGAGACGCGCGCGTATTCCTAGCGTTGTTCTGATTAGTCAGTTGTTAAGTTTGATTGACACTCTGGGAAGGTCTATTGCAGCTGAAGCGATATAATTTGCATGTACAATTCATATTTTAGAGGAAAGCCAATTCTCCCTATAGGCCTAATATATATGATCTCTTTAATAATGTTTGATATAATTTATGTGCATAGTTAAATATTTTCGATAATTTTTATAATAAGCCTATATCCAGAGAGCATGACTGCTTCCTGTTTTATAATGTCTCTTTTTCGCTAACAACTGTTTAATAATAAGTCCGGCATACACTCATTTCCTTCTTGTAAATATAAATAATACGTAATTAAATGTGCATAGTTGTAAGTCTTCGATAATTTTTATATTAGCCTATTATACTGTCTATGTTTCGCTAACAAAATTTAAGTTGCATATTCATAATTATTAAAAATTATAAGAATATTAGAACGAACAAACATAGAATTATTTCTTTAGACGCATAGAGAATACGGTACTGTTTTTAATTCTTTGCTTATATAACATTATATTTGCTTAGTGACACTGAATTTTTATCGAGGAAATCCTGAATATTAGCAAAAACTGTAATTTTTCTATGTAGTATTGGACGCTAATGCCGACCGATGCGATTCTATGAAGAACGCGGCCAGAAAACGCGCACAACGGATCGTTTTTAGTGACGATCTGTTTAGATTGCCACCGACAGTCAGCAGACGGCGTCGCGTCGTCTGCGTCGTACTATGTAGCGCTCACATAGTACTACGACGTAGTAAGTGAGGCTTTAGTTAAGAACACTTTAACCACCATTAATTTAATGGTTTGAAACCGCTGCGCCAAACTGAGTTTCCTCGGTATTCAGACCTACCATCTTTGTTTATATTTATCGTATTTAGCAACAAGCTAAGAAATTTTAAATCGACCCGTGAAATTGGTCACATGCATAATTTTAGTTAATAGTCATGTATGACTTTTGTTTATATGGTTATCTTCAGTTACTATAACTGTGTAATACATTTTGTTTTTAAAATAAATGTTTAACACCAATCGATTTGTTTTACTTTTATACAATCGAAACTTCCTGTGCGACCACATCTAGACGGTTGCGTGTCCTTTGTTTAAAACGATCTCACTTACAAACAGCCCTTTTAAAGTCGAGTTTCCTGAAAACCGCTACGCTGTCGCTGCAGTGTTTTCAGTGCAATCGTTGTGTACTACGTAGCGATCCCCGACGCAATCGGAAGGCTCGCTGAACAGCGTCACTGAGACCACCTGTCGGCGATAGCCTGCAGTGATTGTATGGAAACCAGTGTTAATTGGTGTGGGGAAATATCTTGTAGGCCTATTTCTCTCCACCTTGGAAAAGCTTTTGTTTGCATTAACATCATATAAATTAATATGATTTTCAATAGGTAGACCTAACTGTATTCTGGTCTTTCCTCCAATGTCAGGGGCAGCTAAAGCAAAGTATAAACTATAACTTAATGAGACACCGAAAACCAACTGTGCTTGATATACAAAATGACTGTGTTTGATAACCGACTGTGCCTGAAAACCGACTGTGTCTGAAAGTTGCCCATTTGGCGTTTCATGTAAAAACCACAAAACAACAGAGTGAGACACGGCTAAATGCGGAGGTACGTATGTACGTAAACGTCAAGACATGTGGTCCGAAAAGCTACCGGTCCAGTGAAAAACAACGGTAAAAGTCATTATTTTTCACTCACTTAAATCTGAAATATGGAGTGATATTCACTTCGCGAAACAGAGACTTTGATTATCTATGTTGTTAGTGCCACCGAAAGGCGTGGTGGGGGGGGATTAACATCATATAAATTAATATGATTTTCAATAGGTAGACCTAACTGTATTCTGGTCTTTCCTCCAATGTCAGGGGCAGCTAAAGCAAAGTATAAACTATAACTTAATGAGACACCGAAAACCAACTGTGCTTGATATACAAAATGACTGTGTTTGATAACCGACTGTGCCTGAAAACCGACTGTGTCTGAAAGTTGCCCATTTGGCGTTTCATGTAAAAACCACAAAACAACAGAGTGAGACACGGCTAAATGCGGAGGTACGTATGTACGTAAACGTCAAGACATGTGGTCCGAAAAGCTACCGGTCTAGTGAAAAACAACGGTAAAAGTCATTATTTTTCACTCACTTAAATCTGAAATGTGGAGTGATATTCACTTCGCGAAATAGAGACTTTGATTATTTATGTTGTTAATGCCACCAAAAGGCGTGGTGGGGGGGGGGTGGGGTGCATTGGGGACAACATCATGAATCCACCACCACTTTGTTCCACCGCCAAAACAATAGGCGGAACAAGCGCCAATATTATGGCTGTATGTTGCAGCGCACTGCCTTAACCGCTCGGCCATTCGACTCGACAGAGTGCTGGCCTCTGGTAAGCGGCCACCCCGTAGACCAAACAATTTTCCAAAAATGTATAGGCCTACAATGAGTTAATTAGGGCCTACAATGAATTGATTATTACACAATTCGTTAAAAAATAGTAACTTACCAGTTACATTTAGTTTTAATTTACGCTGTTCTATTATAAATAAATACAAAGAAATAAATATAAATAAAAATGCACCATTCCAATAGATTGTGAATTTCCAATTAAACACCACTGACACAATATATTAAGGCGGGCAGCTTTTAATAATAATAATGATAATTATGGGCACAGAATGTAGGGCAACGCATAATATCTAGGGGAATAGTCGGAACTTAATCATCATTCTGATGATCTAAACATTTTAAGAGGGAGGAGATGAGAGTAATAACTGAAGTAGTTTGTTAAATTTAATTTATTGGATGATTATTTAAACATTGTATAGTATTTCCTCGCTCTAATTATGAGGCATATAACGACATGATAAAGCAGTCCAATATCTACAACATCTTGGGCAGGAACAAGAACAAACTGTGTATGTAATGCAAGAATCGGCCCAGCAATCTTGGGAGTTGCTGAGATTAGATGGAGGAACCTCTCACAGGTGATACATTAATCACTCAAATTATATAAATTATATATTATTATAGTCCCCTCTCGTTACGACTCGGTTTTGCTGTTTGAAGTTTTCAGACTCTCAATATCATATTGTCCCCACCAGTTCATCTACATTCTTATGTCCGCTTCAACTACTGAGTGAATAAATAAATGAGTAAGTGAATGCATGAATGAATGAATGAATGAATGAAAAAAAAATGAATGAATGAATGAATGAATAAAATGAATGGATGAATAAACGGATGGGTGCATGGATGAATGAATGCATATGAATGCATGAACGCATGCATGAATGAATGAATGAATGAATGAATGAATGAATGAATGAATGAATGGGAGGGTGGATGCATGGATGAATGGATGGATGCATGGATAAATGAATGAATGCATGAACGCATGCATGAATGCATTATTGCATGAATGGATTAATTAATGAACGAACGAGCGAAAAAATGAAGGAATTAATGAATAAATGAATAAATAAATGAATGAATGAATGAATGAATGAATGAATGAATGAATGAATGAATGAATGAATGAATGAATGAATGAATGGATGGATTGATAAATAAACAGATGGATCGATTGATCGATGAATTAGCGCACGGACAGACGGATGGATTTGTGAATCATGGACGGATGGATGAATGAATGAATGAATGAATAATAATTATCAATATCCTTTTATTTCTTTATACCTATGGAAGTAGGCAGGTGGCAGGTAACATGATATGACCTGTCACGTGATGTCCAAATCGCCTTATCGAATGATAAATCATCTCATTTGAAAGATATATCACCGTTGAAAGTTTCTATTTGTGGCCAGCCTCTGTAGAACTATCCATTTAGTTATTAGGATAATTATTTACAATCGCTTCTAGCCGGCGGCCCCACGTCTCATCATCTACCGGTTGTGATGCAATTTAATCAAATTAAACATGCCATTAGCAGTTAGAATCGACATTAAGTTAAATTCGGGATGCTTAACCAAAAGGCTACTAGACTTCAACTCAACTTCGATCAAATTGGCTTATTGATACGTCGCCCTTATCTTGTTTATTGTCATTTACGCAAGATTATCTATTTGGGAAATGAAAAGAAACACCGGTAAGACAATCATTTGTTAATAACTGATAAACATGCACTCACATGCCGTTGTGGGAAGTTACATTTTTTTTTACATGGTAAAAAGATAATACAAAATCACGTACTGTAAAAGGCCTACGAACAGTTGGCGTCGGTTGATTGATGATTGGCAAGAACGCATGATACCCGGATGATTTTTACGGAATGGAACGATCATTCAAGGCGGCACCTCTACATTTCGGAATGGAACGATCATTCAAGGCGGCACCTCTACATTTGGGGTTGTACGCTTTTTGTTTTTCAATAAGAACCAGTCAAACTTTGTCCAAGCTCAGTGTTCTTAATTTTTGGAAAATTTCAGGCTCAAAATGTTCTTGTTTCAAAAATAGAAAAATATTGATTTTACAGCAATACAGGAATATTACTGTACTGTATTATAATAGAGGGTATTCACACCTGCTGCACATATAGGTACCTACAGATAAGACCAAATTTTACTTTATATTTTGTTAATTTATTTTTTCATTTTTTTTAAACCTGATTTAAGATTTTACCTCAGCCCCAATTGATTTTATTCTTATTATATTAGCAATTTCAGCCTCAGTGTTCTTATATTTTTGTATGCATTTTGTTATTTTAACCAATGATGTTAAATAAAAAAAATTTTACAAAAATACAAAAAAAAACCCCCACATTTTTATGCCTATTTAAATGAGAATAATTACCTCTCTAGCTCGTTTGTGATGAGGTTTAAATGTTTCTCGTTCCAATATTTTTTTGTCATACGCAAGAAGAATGTTTTTTAATATTAAATTGCTAGAACAGAAATGGAAGCAAAACAAATTATAAGAAAAGGGGACGAGTAAATGAGGGGGAGGGGGTGTAGGGTGTTCGGACAAATAGATATAGACAGATGCGATAATCTATAATTATTTTTAGGACCCTTACAGATTTATAAGGAGATGCATACTAAAATGTTTTCATGTATCATAAATTCATGTATTACCAGGGGCCCATAGAAATTGCAGGTAGAATATTTTTTTTTTCAAAATTATTATTATCATGAGCACTCTCAATAATGGCATGGGACCCTCCAGATTCACAGGCCCACCCCCTCCCTCCACCCCACCCCCAAAAAAATAAATAAATGAATAAAAAATAAATTGTGCCTCCGGTGCAATCTTTCTCGAGCTTTGCGCTCGTAACCACAACAACCTTTGTCCCTGTTACAGTTTGCTCTCTTTGCGGCTCTTCAAATTACATAGCCAAAACCTACAATTTTAGATGTACTGTATTCACAAAAAAACACTCAAGTATAAATATTTCAAAAATACACAACAATCAAAATACAATGGATTTAACGTTAATGGTTCTAGTATAAGAAAAAGTAAATTGTTCAAAATATCGAAGAATAACTGCCAACCAAACAAATCAAGAAATTTCAATAAGTCTTCAAATTTATCACTGTAGGTACATAATTTATCAACTGTCAGCAATATTTTAAAAATCTCGAAATCTTCTGGCAGAGGTTTAAGGACACCAATATGAATGTTTGTTAATGGCTGTTTATTGGTGAAAACATCTCTTCAAATGTTCAGTTTTTTAAGCTGATAACCTATTGAATAATACTAAGCAATATATTTCCTAGCTTTTATGTATATACTCCGTATTTGATTTACGTGGCAGCATATATAATTTAAAAAAAATACATGTTACATCGCTAGCGGGTAGAAACCTAATGTAGCTACGTTTATTGTTTGACACAATTGAACCTACTGTAAATGGGTATATATCAATGTCTGTTTCAATAAAATATTTTTTCGCCAAATTATGATTAACTGTTTGGCCTTCTGACCATTGAATTTTATCAGGGATGCTCCTTAGGTTAAGTATCAATTTTCCTTTCATTAACCAAACAACAAACAATTTGTCCCCGAAATAATCATGACATGAACCTGAAAAAGCACACATCGGTAAAGGCCTAGTTATGTCAATGAACGTGTTTGTATCCGTATAGATTCGTTAAATGTTGTAGGTGAGTCAGGTGGCGCTGCACTGCGGCGCGGTCGCCGCGGATCCCAGTCCAAATTTCCAATTTCAAGTGGAATAAGGAGGACTAATAAAGAATGTCAATACGTAATTATATATTTTAAATATTATATACCTATGGATACATTTTTTCATTAACATATTGTTGAATTCATATTTCATGAACAATTTATCTTTAAAATAACGACTAGAAGTGGCATTTCGTTAGCGCAGATGAGCCTACCCCTTTCTGATAATCTTGCCTTTAAAATAAATAGGGCCTATGAGTTACATCTACATCTACTCCTTCAACCTTGCTCTATTATCTTTTTGACATTTATCTTGTTTTCTAATCCATGTATTTATAAACTAGCATTTTTATTTTTATTGGGAATGTAGCTTGCATGGTTAAGATGTTTGCTATATAATAAAAATGAGTAGGTAAGGTAATAAAATAATTATTCTTGTGTGGGGCGAATTTAATTATAGTTGCAATAAACCTAACTAAAGTTTGAATAATGACGAAAATACAAACTGAAGTATTCGTAAATTAACTTTAAATTGAAAAAAACAATATTTATTTACATATTGATTACTTTTCTTCTTGTGATGTCTGTGATTCTTGTTTGTTCTCTATAGTTGTTGTTCTTTAGACACTGCCTTTAGCACCAATTTTGGTAGTGATGTTTGCGCTTTCGAATCCCAGGGTCCTGGTTCAAGCCGTGTGACAGCATAGGATTTTCTCTCACGACTAAATAAATAAAACATCTCCACTTCATTGCCTCGTATTGTGACTTCGCTGATAAGTACAATAAAAAAAATTTTGTTAATATTTTATTATTTTATCTTTTATTATATTAAAAAAAACACTTGATAATATAATTTCTGCTACCCGTCCTACATTTATGGTTCTCATTGTCATCGAGGGAAGTGAAAACCCTCACAGCATGAAATCTGATGTGAACGCATCGTGAACCAAAGCGAATCGTGATAATTTGTGTTTAGCCAACACGCGCCCGATTGCTATTCCTTTTCTGAACTTTGTTCATTTTCTAATCAGACTCACGCGTACGGCTCGTTAGATAGTAAAGATGCTTTCCGTGTCGAATAATACAAGAAATAAGATTGCATCAATAGTTTGTTTTTTTGCTTTGTAGGCCTACTTATCCGCTCTGTCAACCAAATTGTACATGCTTCCACGGACAAAAGCCCCGAACAATCAAGATTTTGAAGCATAATTTAGTTTGGTCTATTTGCCTTTGTCATCGTTATTAATATATTCTTATATTTTTAATCTGTGAGTGCCTTTTCTTTCCATCTACGTTTAAGCCGTTGGTCCCGTGTGAATTTATGGCCCATGCACGTTAAAGAACGCAGTAAACTTGGGGAAAGAGTAGGGGATTGTCTCCTGGTGTACTGCCCAATCACCACCAGAAGGACCCCACTGGAAATAAGTCTTCTTCTAGACTTCCGTGTGCTATCATTGGTGTTTACACCGAATAAATCCAATTCAATCTAACCCAAAAGCATTCCGAATACAATGACAAACATGATTTAAAAAACGAGCACATCTAAAATCCCATAACAGAATTGGAGACCGGGACCCAAAAAGTTCCACCAGTCTCAGACTTCACAGCCCCCCCCCCCCCCCCCCCCCCCCCCCCCGGCCCCATCGTTACGACACTGGTCATAAGCCATTCCCGCTGAAATAATCTAAATGCCAAGGAACGCATACATATCGTAGCATTACATTAACGATTGTATGTGACAATTTAAGTTAAGTAGAGGCATCATAACTTCTTATCCGAACATTCTATTTATATGTTTAATGTTGTTTTGATGGCGTACAGGTAAGCACCTCGAGTGCTCGCAAATGTAGCTTGTTATCCCATTCCAACCCGTGTTAAATCCGGGCATACATCAATTGCATTTGTGGCTCCATGGTTGAGCAGCCGGTAAACAAGTGAATATATGTGTGGAGTTAAATAGCTTAGTGGTTAAGATGCTTGCTTCCAACCGCTGGGTGGTTTTTTTTTTTACTTCGTTGAGTAAAACTAACTCCATTCCCAGCCTCGTAAGGCCAAATAAAAAAATTATTGTGTTGGCCACGCCAGCCCGACCAAAATTTTACGAAATTTAGGGTCGGCATTTTTTTCTACAGCGAACAATATTATTTTATAATATTTTTTTTTCATAAGCTAATAAGGCTGGAAAAGCCTTGGCCAGGCTAGGGGCCAAGGCATGGCCTATTTTGCTAAATGGCAGGCGATGCAAATCCAAAATTGTTGTATTATACGTGCATTTTCTCCTGTTTTGGTGAAAACACATTTTTGGTAGTTAAGAAAAAAACATTTTCCTACAGATCTACCCATTTTTTGAGTTTTCCTAAAACGTGGCCAACACAAATTTTCCCCTTTTTTTTTGGCCTAATGAGACTTCTATGTAGCGCATCTTATGTGTATGTTTCCTTGACACGGAGTGATTAAGCTCAATGTTCGCCATATCCTTAGCTCTAGTGCCTAAAGCTGAATAAACAAGTTCTCATAATCGCGAAAGCGCCGATGAGGGCAGTATAATAGAGGCAGTAGATTATATTGGCCCTAGCGGCCACCCATACAAAAAAAAAAAGATCTATCAATCATCCGAGTGTTTCTAGAGCTCCTCATCGAGCTTAAAATATACTGTACAGTAGGCCTACGTTATCCTTGTACTACCCAACAAGTTCTGACACCGTGAATTCTAAATAACAAAACATTATATCTGCTACTTTCACTGTTATCAGATGATCGGCGCATCCAAAGCGATGACAATGTAAGTCACAAACAATTACCTGATGACGCTAAGCTATTACGATGACAACGAAAGCTTCAGTAATATTCATATAACACGGGCTATAAAAGTAAATATATATATAACTTTAAATAATATTTAGATTGTCCTATCCTGCATTACAATTTAACGACGTTTAATCAAAAATCGGCTCGAGATACACTCACTTGATTACAATGCACTTTTTAGTCTATTTACGCTGAAATAAATATAACCACTAATAAATATATATTTCTCTAATTCATGATATTCGTTACCGATAATAGAAAGCTAATGACTAATAATATATACCGTACTTTCTAACGACGCAATCAAGCTAAAACTTTTAAACCATTCAGAACACATGATTATAACGCATGCTCTGGTTCAGTATCTTCATCTGCTTCAACAAAGGCTCCACCAGGCTATTTTTGTGTTTGAGCTTTGCAACCGCAACCAAGGAGGGCGCGGCTAGTTGGAACGTTACATTCATCATAATTTCGGCATAGCTCACACAATATCAAGCCATATTTCTTATTTTGTTGATGTTTCTATTAATTAGTAATACTAAACGTATTTTTTGATGTTTCTATTAATTAGTACTACTAAAGGTGCCAAGAAAAGAAATTAACACAAACTTGTAGAGTTTTCGAAGGTTCATATTCTTTATTATTTGTGCAGCCTTGTGTAATGTCATATGCTATTTTAATTTTGGCCTTTTGAATAATTACGGTCGTTAAACTAATTTTAAGTTAAATCATCAAAAGCATATTATCACAATACTAACACAATTTTAAGACGTTATTTTTGTTGTTAATATTTTCACATGTACAAAAACAAACAATAATTATCATCTTACATTCTACAGATTGAAACCAAATTGATTGTTCAATAACAATTATTTATATAAAGCCACCACTCTCACTGCATCATACGATGAATCCAATTCCGCTTTATGTGAAGGTTAGGCAAAGAACTTAAATAGGCACGCGACGCGACACACTTTGCCGATTGTCGGTCTGTAGTGCGCGCGTTGTAGAATCGTGTCGGCCGACGATCGGGCGCTGCATGCATTGAGTCCGACTGTCGGGGGTCTTGTTGGAACGCAATCCTATCTCAAAAAGTAATGCTACGAATGGGCGTGTCCCTCAAAAGAATGTAAAAGGCGTTCTTACCGAACGTGTGCTGCGCGTCTATAGGAAGGGGCGTGTCTACAGTCGGACCTTCTGCAGGTTCATAATCTGTGCTTTACAGTACAATCACAGCTACCAACAAGATGACGAAAACATAAGGCCAACATCAATAGCCACCCTGAAGCTACACACCTTTAGGGAGGCTAATGATAATGAATGTCTTCATACAAATTGACTTAGCTTCTGACAATTATTCAAGTCTCCATCATTTATTATTGACCAAATCTCAGGGGACAGATTTTTCTTCAAGTCTGACATTTCAATTCAAAAAGATTATCAAACGTTACAGTAATTATATATAATTTGCGTTCATAAATAATAATTCTTTTAATGAACTAATAGCAAAATACGTTTTGTGAATGTTGATGGATTGATAGGCTACTGAAAACTTCTTTTCCGAAATAATAGGGATTTGAAATGAATGAATATGAATTTACAATGAAAGAAAATGGATTGAACTTGCATGTTCAACATTTTAGTGATAGATGAGAGTGGAATTATTTAAAAATTATACATCTGTACAATTACTGAATTTTAGTTCTAAAGAAAAGGAAGGCCTACATTCTGTGGCCCTAGCTCACCCAGATTTGATTATACAGTATATTATCATTCTAACACTGAAGGAATACACTGACTTGAATTATTTATCTTAAAGCATACATTTGATAATACAAAACTAGGTTACAAAATAATATAAAAATAAATTACTTACTTTATCTATAACACTTACTTTTTATTTAGTTTTATTTTAATTTTATTTATTTTATCTGTAATTTAGTACATTTTTGGATAAGAAAATATCATTTTGCTGTTTATTGGATACAGAATTAATCAGCCTCTGCTACCTGAACCGTATACATAGTCAGCACATTGTAGTTGCATTCATTCCAGAGAGGGCGCCCCATCCACCGAAAACACATTTACTCTTATAGTAATTAAATTAAGCTACAATAAATATATATAAATATAATAATTCTTCTGTGAATAACAAATATAGCAAATCAAAACTTGTATTTTTTTGGATTAACAGCAATAACAAGTAAACAGGATCACACACATCGATTTATGTCGAGATTGTTGAAGCATACAGTGACTCAATCTCCTTGTGTGTACGAAGGCAGTTTTGACTGCAGCATGGACTCCGTTACCTTCATTCTGTTGGAAAAACATATAAATTACCAATAGAGTAAAGCCATGCTTATGTCCCTTGTGATTCGACTAAACTCAACTGACTTTCGGCAACTGGTCGGTGATTAAAAGTGACTGTTTTGCACGATTCGAGGCGGCATGAGCAATCGCACAATCAGAAGCAACTGAAGCATAGCTTGTTCTGCTCCGTCGCACATCTATTTTCTGACTGTGACTGACAAGTGATTGAAACTGGTCATGTGACATTGATAAACTAGTATCTCTAGTCTGTTACTTGTATATTAAGTAGTTATATAGGAAGGCGTTTATTTTTTTGTTGTAAAATGGATACATATAGTCAAATAAACACATAATTACTGTCAAAATGAGCTATTGCGTGATCATAAAAAGACATATTGATCCCAACCAGTATAGAAAAAATGTAACTATACTGGAGTATAATATCAATAGAATGTGTTGAGAATGATGTTGCTTTTTTGCTATTACAGTAGTTTTGTCATTTGGGGGGGGGGGAGGGGGTGTGTTTATTACAGGAAAAAAGTATTAGTTTGTTTGAGGAAAGCATTTACTCCAATTATGGATCTGTAGGGGCATACATTCAAGGGGGCGTTTATTCAGTGTTGACGTTTATATTCGACTAGGTACAGTATATGAGGCATGTTGTGGCAAAATGGTTAAGTTGTAGCAAAAATTGAAATTCAATTTATTGGTATTTTCAGATACTTGAGTATGTGATCTTTAAAATGAGGGATCATTCATTGAAATTGGACATTTCAAACCTAAGTTATTGGAAAATGAAAGTACAGCACTCTTACAGTCAAGTTAAACATGATTTTGAGTAATTGCCTTTCAAAGTTATTTGTGCATACATTGTTTAATAGAATTAACTATCTAAATAACTTAAATAAACGATTTGTTGACCACTTCCAGAACTAATACTTTGGGACATGAATAATAAGACATTAAACTGTTGATTTGTAGTGAAAAACAAATTTGGATTTTTAGGCACTTTCTTGAGCTCCCATATTTTAAAGCTCATTTACTCAATACTGGCCTGTGCGACAACTTAACCATTTCGCCACGACATGCCTCATATATAAAGTTGTTATATAAAGTATCGTGTATATATATATATATATATATATATATATACACACACACACACAATGTAGTTGTACTCACATGTCACTCACTCTATCAATCTGAGTCTGCAGAGCTTTATCCATTTTTCCCGCATTACTGTGAACTTTTATGGTGGCTTTGCAACTCAGCGGAGAGGAGTCTGAAAATGGGCTTCCAATTTCTGGTTCTGGTGAGGAAAATGCACTCGTAGCAGGGGAGCCTGAAGTTAATGACGAGGGAGATAGGATGCAAGTATGCCTCTGGTCGTGCGAAATCTCTGAACCGGTTTGTGCCTGTTTGCCTTGGCTAATACTTTCCAGGGTACAATAACCACTTCGCCCCACTGATGAACCTATTGTACTTGGGGTCATTTGGCCAGGATAATTGCCCTTCAAAGAAAAAATTATACAATAAATGAAAAAAATAAGCCCGCATTGAGGAAAATACGAGTGACGTTTTGCCCTAGTTGATGTGTCATTGTACCGAATAAGCAGTACGTTCTCAAATACTTGCAAAAAAAATTTGTAAGTCTTTCGGGGTTGGAATCAAACCGACGACCTCCAGATAACTAGCCTGGTGGCATAACCAACAGACCACCGAACTTGTGTAACAATGCGAGGCGCATAATAGTTGTGCTCGCATAATTATCTGTATAATATGTGGCAAAGACAAGACGAGCCAAACCATAATATGTCATTTCTACAGTATTTTTTTTAGTCTTGCCTCATGGAAATAGAAACAAAAAAATTGGGTATTCTGGAAAAAAAAGTCAAAGAAGGGGATAGATATAAGAATTTTCATTTAATTATTTACCAGAGTGTTCAATATAACAACTTGGTTCTCCATCAGCACAAGTCGATCCATTACCGTCTTCAGTTCCTTCTCCATGGAGCCTAACTTCTCCTGCATGGCTGCATTTTTTCGTTCATCATCTCTATTTGCAACAGCGCCCTGATATTTTTCCAGTCTTTGCTCTAAACTCTCTACTCTGTTGATTACATCATTAAGCCTTGAGTCCAGTTTACCAATTACCTTCATGCAGGCATTCACATTGTCCTTGAAATGTGTAATCTATTAGAAAGTTTTATGTGTTAAAATCAGATATGGTTTAGTGGTTAGAGCACCCACCTTACGATCTCATGGTACTTAGTTCAAGTCCTAATTTTTTTCCAAGAATATCTGGCAGATTTGTTGTAAATTGAAATCTGCTATTGAAATAGCACGTTAGTTTTGAGACATATAGAGCATAATGATGTATAAATAACAACAATAGAAAGTGAAGGTTTCATGTTTGATAAATATTATGTAAAAAATAGTAATAAAACACATGTTTAAGTTGTAGACATAATATGAAACTACAGTATCAATACAGTAAATTATATTGCTTCATATTATGTCTAAACAAGAAAAATGTTTTCATGCCTTCTGTAAAAAAAGAAAAATGACTGTACTTTAATAGTATCCAAATTGTACATAAAAATGTCCATTCTTTTAGCAATATTGCCTCTAAAAAGATGGACTGCATTATTCCACTCACCTCTACTAATTCAGATGTTGGGCTTACTTCTGCTGATTTATAACCTTGGTCATGTGACATGCATGGCGTTTGCGGATTGGACGGATATGGTACATGACGAGTGACTAGTCCGCCGTGATTTCTTTGCTCACCTACAGAATAAACTAAAATTGGTAACTCTAATACTGCAAATTGTTAAAGAAATGAATATTGGTAATAGGACTAAAGGGAAATAGAAATAATTAAATATTATATACAAGTTATTAATTAATATAATTGTATATTCAATTTGGAATGTCTGTACTTACTTAATTCAATAATCATGACTGGGTCACCACCTGGGGAGGGTGCACCGTATAGGTGTGAACCACATACTGGAATAGGAGGCGGTTTGACATCATTGATACCAGTAGGGAGTGGTGGTCTACCATCCATAACATGAGGTTGCCTAGGCTTAGCATCAGTTGTTAAAGCAGAAAGGTTGCCTTCATCGTCAGGGGTTGGTAGGACAGACATACTCTCCGTACTGTCTTCCTGGTGCTCAAACTTAGGCATAGGTACAGCTGTTAATGCACCAGACTGCGACAAACTTGCCTCATAACCATCATGATCCGACATAATTGGTGAAACTACTCCATAAGCACCTGGCAGTGAAGGGGCCTTTGGCATCGACACGCCAGTAGGTTTCTTTCCCTTTGCTGATAAAATTAAAAAGAAAAGATGTAAAACTAAATAAATGCCTGGCTGATTCAGGAGGTAGTAAAAGGGGGCATTCCCCTACCCCTACAGTAACAGCAGCCACAACATCTTGAATCAATGGTCAAATCATTTAAAGAGACTGCAATGTCTAAGACTAAAAGGAGCTTTCGGAAGATGATGCCTTGGACTACAACAGGTAATCAGATCCTTGACTGCCACGCACACGACCCTGCCAAAAAAATTCCAGTATCTGGAACTAAATGCAAGATATTTTTTTTTTTTTTTCCAAATAATTAAACAATGTTTCTATGAATAGAAAATATCACAAGCTACAGTTAACACAGGGAATCAACAAGAGAGGGCGCCAAGTAAAAATTGTAAAAATCTGTGCAATGTGAAACATTTCTGTTCTGTAATACAGAGAGATAAGTCAGTAATGAAGTCAAATAATTGATTAATGTAACTTTGAAAAATCTTCAAGAGAGCAATGTTTGTTTCATACTATGTGATTAAACATACCAACTGTATTTTTATGTCTGTCTGAAGCTGAACCAATGCTCCACAGTACTTCATCACACAATATTCAAACACTCGCCTATTAAATCTGACAAACATCATCATGCCCAGCATTATAATGTATTAGGCACATACGTTAAACATTCCCCAAACGAATAAAATACATACGAGAGGTATTAGGTAAAGACAACCTGATTTCTTGCTTTGAACAAGGTATCCATTCGTAGAAGTCTTATAAATATAAGCCTATCCAATAGTGACATTAAAGAGTAGGGACCTGGAAATACTACCAACTTTAGATTGACGAAGATTGAAATATGTTAAATACCATAAATGCTCAAACAAGCACCACTCTCGAATAAGTGCACTTATTCAAGCATTTACGATAGTCTTGCGGATTTACATTTAAAAAAAAACAGGTTTCATATCCATAGTTGGACATTTATCAGATGTAACAGAATCCATGCTAATGTACAGTTCAGCTTACTTTTCTTTTTACGAGTCAATTCTTGATTCTTCTTTTGAGCCATCCGAATAACGTCCTGCATCATTATAATCTTACGCTCCGCAAATCCTGTGCTGAGGAACATGTCCTTTGAGATTGTAGGTTTGTAGTTAAAAATGTCACGAAGAACCTATAAGAAGAACAAGTTTAACAAATTTCAATCTTGTCTATAAGATGTACTAAAAGAAATAAACATGAAATGTATGTTACAGTATCACAGTACACCACTAAATAAAGGCAAATTAAATTGTTGTGTTACCATAGTACAGCGCCAATTTGAAATCAGAGCAAGCAGGGGTGTACACTAGGCTGATTTCAGCCTGGGGTGGGGTGCGAAAATTGTGAAGGTGCAACTAAATCCCTATATCCAATGACAACTTAATGGCCATTTTTATACCTTTATACCCGCCATGGAGATATGGGGGATGTGTCTGCAAGGGCTTCTATTATAACCTTGATAAAGGTAGGTCAGCCCAGTCATATATTTTTAAAATTGTTTTAAATATATATATAAATTTCAGAGTTCATTGTCAACCACAATTTACCCCATACACTTTGGTTGATAAAATGGTCACAACAGGGCTACAATTGAAGTTTTATTAACTACAGCTTGAAAATAGCCTTTTGATTTTTTTTTTTGGCTTAAAACAACTTGTCTGCCATACATTTTCAGCTCATATCTTTCATAAAACTTTTGTTTTAATACAGTGTAATTAAAGAGCTTAACACCATATTTTTAAAACTTAAAGAGGTTACCTTTGAGTAAAGTAAAAAGACGAGTTATAAACAATTATTGGTAATTTTATTGCAGTTATAAATCTTACTGTACCTTATAAACACCATCGATAAAACGAACATCATTTGTCACAGACAACTGGATTTGTTGAGATGCAATTAACTGAGCAATAGGATGGGAGAATTCCAACAAACTAAAACGCAGAATATAAATGAAAATTTTTGGAGCCCCTTTTTTCAAATCCTTTTTGTTTTTATCTGTTAACGGATTGATGTTAATTGCTTTCAGACATGATTGTAGACATCGCAGGTTATTCAACATGTCACCTGTACTCATCTTGGCCAATCTGTATGGTCATCAAAACCTGAACCCTGAAGAGAACAAAAAAGCATTAATAAAGATATGCCTGCAGATTATAGAAGCTAGACTCTGCAGTTGGTTATATTGATTTAATGGACTTTCAATTCTTCTAATGAGTCAGACTAAATAAGGTTCATAAAACATACACAACAGTGACTTTTTTCAGGCAAGAACTTCAAGGCAGGTCTGCCAACTAGGCCTACAAGGCTAGGCCTAGCCTGGAGTACGCTAGACAAGCCTAACTAAGACTGAAAGAGGCTAGGCTAGGATATAGGCCTATGCATTTGCTAGGTAGGCTAGGCCCAGCTAGAGTAGAGAGAGAGGCGACAGAGAGGGTTGACCCGGGCCTCATTAATTTTAGGACAGATAGGGAGGGCTAAAGCCTAGCGCAATTGCATAAACTAAAATTAGATTGTAGTAGGCCTAGCATGTGTAATGATTTCAATACCCACTTCGTGGAGTAAAAATAAATGTGTCGCGTGAACTCAAAACTACAGCACCAACAACAGGGTTTACCTTCCGAAAATTGAAATTTTAAATACACCGCCAACAAGCGCTGGACAAGATCCCTGCACCATTTAGACTGCTTGTGCCAGACTCCTTAAGCACAATTATGTTCAGTACCTAATTCATTGCTTCACAAATCTCAAAACAATATGTATAATACTTTAATTACATAAATAAGCAATATCAGAAAAACTTAACCAAAACCTGGAACAATAGGGGGCCTAGAGCACTGATGAAACATCAGTTTCAACATAGAAATAGCGATCTCGGCATAGCATGACGTCACATTCTCCACGTCAAAACGGGTCATGTAATGTTTGTTGACATCTTGCAAGTTGACGCAATGCAAGGTTGACGACGGAGTTGCGTTTCGCCATTTGTCTACCTCAACTTTCATACTGGTTAAAACATTATATAAAAACAAATCAAGGGTTAAATTTCGCTGTGATGGTGAGTAGAATGTTCAGCGTAGGTATTACGATACGAGGTTGCTAGCTCAGCAGGTACAGCCTACAGCCTACCCTATGCCCTATATAGGCTCTAGCTAGGCCTAGGCCTAGCCCTAGGTTGGCCTGCCCTCCCTGGCATTTCTCTATCTAGTCTAGGCTTACGCAGTGTAAGGTAGTAGTAGTAGTACTGCTACACTTTAAAGGTAGGTAGGCCTAGGCCCTCTCTGCTAGGGCAGCCAGGCGTTCGCAGACTCTGCAAAAAAAATGTGATAGTTCTAGGCCTAACTTGAGGATAGGCCATTTTACTACTATCTAGGGCTAGGTAGGCCTCTATACTATATCATCAGACACCAACAACCACAGGCCTAGGCTATCCAAAAAGTATCATCTCTTTAATTTAGTATACAACTTTCCCTTACTTGGATGAGATTCAAACTTTTGTTATTGTTGTGCATTTACATTAGACCCACATGATGATGAATTCATACAAAACATATACAAATTTTTACTATTGTTTACAATATTGCAAGATAGCAATATATTATCTAAATGCCAACAATAACATTACCATCAAGACAAGTAGATAGATTGTATACATCTAGGCCTATTGGAGAAATTCAACTTTGGAGCTTTCAATTCAATATAATAATTTTATATTGCTACCAGGACCAATCCAGGGAGGTATAAAAATGTGTTTATACCACTGCATATCTGCAAAACCAGCTGTACACAATACCAAATACTTTTTATAAAATTATTTTTATTATTGATTATGAAATTCAAAGGTTACAAGGCCCACACAGTAGCCAGATAGAGGACTGTATTTCTGATTTGATTTTGTGGTCCCAAGATAAAGATGAGAATATGATGTACAATAAAACATTTATCATGCTTTACAAATTGTAAACTGTACTGTAATTTTTAATATATTGCTTTTTTTTTTAAATGTGTGCACAATTTCTTTAATCATAAAGAAATAAACTTCTTTATAGGTATGATGGTAACTTGGATATGGGTCAGTCATTAAGACGTATTAATAGGAATCAGTCTTCAGGGAGCGTCAGTAAACATCGAAGGTCAAAGCGACATAGCCAACTACCGAACCTGAAGACGAGGTTCCCAGACCTAGCAGAGTTGCCACCTGAGCTCGCTCTTGCGGTTCTTTCCAACCTAAACGCCACTGATCTGTGCTTGGCTGCCTGTGTGAATGACTTCTGGAAGGAGCTCGCTAACGACCAACTGCTTTGGCAGGGGTAAGATTTTGAGAATGTCACACTAGAAAAACATGATTTTTGAGAATGTTGAACAAAACATGATTTTAATGTCACACAAAACATGATTTTGACAGTCACACAAACCATGATTTTGACAATGTCACACAAAACATTATTTTGACAATATCACACAAAACATGATTTTGACAATGTCACACAAAACATGATTTGATAATGTCACACAAAACATGATCAGGGATCAAAAACCAAGCCAAAAACAAGCCAAACCAGTCGCTTGTCGCAAATCCTGTTTTGGAGATAATGGCCAAAACATGCTTCTTAAAGAAATGTCGGATTTAAATGATTCTTTTACCATTTTATAGCTCTTATTTTACTGTTTAACCCTTTACTAATAACTGAAAATCAAATTTTGCGACGAGTGACTGACTGGTGTGACTTCTCTCTGCCTCATTTTATGTGGTAGCGTGTGGTGGTATTTAAGACCGCAAATCCCCGATCTTTTGCTTGGATGCGCAAAGCCTAACCTAGCCACAGTAGATTCTTGTTTTCAAAAATTCTGAATTCATGTATGGAAAAAAAGAGATTTAAAAAAATCAGAAATACAGTAAGGTCTAATATAGACCGATGTACTATATGATAATTCATGCATTATCGCTACACTAGTCTCAATAGCAACAGCCCTTGCATTATTTTCTGTCTTCGCTCATGCGTAGCATAATCCATTGTCCAATAGTTCCCTGTTCATCTCAACCATTAATTGATTATAACACTATAGGCTTTGAATATAGATATCAAATTGTGAAAATTCTGAAAGATTTTTGGGACAGTGGGCTTATGGTTTCCGAAGGCCAAATAAAAGAAAAAATGTTTTATATCCCTCCCTCGTATTTTTCTTTGGCTCTGCCATTATTTTGACAAGACAAAAAAAGTTTCCAGAAATTCCGGAAGAAATATAAAACATCTAATAAGCAATGAATATTTGTGCTAGTAGTTCTGATGTCTAATAACACGATTTTGGGTTGTTTCGAAGGCAATACAACTCATATTGTAGAAGTGGTTTGGCGCAGTTGGAACGGTTTGGTTTCCCAACCTCGAGGTTGGGGTTTCAATCCTCTCGCTGTGCATTTCGCTTGTGTCCTTGGGCAAGGCGCTATCTACATTGCTTCTCTCCACCCAGGAGTATAAATGGGTACCTGGTAGGGTTAAATGCCAAAATGCGCTGATGTAGCTGCTGCAACTTTATGGAACAGTTTGTGTTTCATAGGCGTCTAATCCAATGACCGGGGGTAGTAATGCGAAGCCCTTAGAAGCCTTGTTGGCATTAAGCGCTATATAAATATAACATATTAACATATTATATTATATCAAAAGGACTTCATACTGTCTGTATAGGTAATCCTCTTTGGGAAGAAAAAAGTGGTATCATTAATCTTCTCCTTTTCCAAAAATTCATGAGAAATATTTTATTTTTTTCATTTGGCCTTTTTTTTTTAACCTTTTTCTCATTAAGGCTTGAATTGAATGTCATGGTGTTGTTCTTTTTGAAAACAATCATACTGTAACTTTAATAAAAATCTACTATGTATGCTAATGGATAGACAAATGAATAATACATACTTATTTGAATATATTATATCATAAAACCTTAATAACATTGTAGTGCTATTAGATAAAGTAATTTTTGTGGATTCGCTTAGGTTGTGTCGAGCCACATGGGGATGTGTGACAGCGTATGAGCGCATGAATGAACCAGGCTTCTCCTGGAAGACACTTTACCTACAATTGGACGAGGCTAGCCTCGCCTTCTCTGCAGACCCACAAGTAGTAAGTATGAGGAGTAATAACATAATGTTAGAAGACCCTACACAATACTACAATAATAACGTTAACATTTATGGAGTGACAGTGTGTCTCATTTGCATAGGAGCCTGTGGTGGCATAAGGCTGGGACTGGGGCCTCTGTGGCTTTCTGAGACTGGGGCCCTTCTTGGGGTATCGCACGCTAATCACTCACAGACTTAAAATTTGAATATACTTTTTCTTTGTTTCCACATTAATCCGTCACTGGATATGTGATATATGTCGTACAGGCGATGTCAGAGACACAATATGCTGTTATATATTATCAAAGCACTTTTGCATCAGGGTTCTAGAGCGAAGTCCCTATGGGAGGGGTCCCTTATAGGTCGGGGGTGCTTTCAGACCGCTGCATGAGAACGCGTGCGTTACGCTACTAATAGTAGCTGTTTGATGGATAACATGCTGCACTATTTTTGAATAGTGATAATTCCAGACTAATTACCCAATATTCTATTGATAGCCACCTAAATGTTATACATAGAATCAGAAATAAGCATGATGTATGTTTTCGTCATAAAAAAAAAAACCTATAATCAGGCTATAATATTATTTCATGACACATTGCTGTACATACTGTATACAAAACAGATTCCAGTTGTCAAGTTTTCTCGTAATTTTTGGTGATTTGCACTTTAAACAGTAATTTCTGATAAAGTCCGGGGATGAAAATCATTCATACATTCTTTATTTTGCCTTTCATAAAAATCACAGTACAATTGGTCTCTGTAGCTCACAAGTGTGTTAATCCATTTCTAGAAAAACTGACATAAGTTAACACAATAATATGTAAAAATATATGAGATAAAATATTATTACCTACAACTTATTACTGCCGCAGATCCATTACTTATCTCGGTTTCGTACCCTTGCAATCAAAGGGTGGGCTGTACTGAGGCTGTCACGGATCCCCAGGGGCCTAGCTCAAATTGACTAGTTTGCTATGTTCCTAATAGTGCTAATGTTTTATGCGTATAAAGTGCAGTGCATCATACCACTGCTTATGCCTTCTAAAATATCATTTCTTGTTGTGCGACCTTGAAGTATGAATAAAAATCCAGTATATCTTTGATTCTTTGCAACGGACTCTTTTGCACTGATTTATCTTAATGATAATTATGTCTTTTCTGCAGGGGTTAGATTATTTATTCCAACACAACCTTGTCGATAATGATGCTCTTGCAATCGCTAAGTTCCTTCATACTACAAACAGGCTGGCTCATTGGCAGGTTCGACAGTTTTTGCGAACAAGGTAAGTACGTCAATCAATCAATCATTATTGATTTATAATACACCATGGCAGAATAAATGTCCAGTGGCCATAGGACATTTGCATTCAGCGGCAGATTCAAGAGTAGGGGGATGGTGAAACAAGTCGGCCCGGGTGATGAATTTCTGAAAAACAGATATTTACATTTTACATTGGAAATAATCCATAATGCTAATTCATTTTGCTATCACAACAAATACTGTACATAGTACAATCAATGGTAATACTTCATTCAAACTTATATAAGTTGTTGTATAATTTCCAACATTAAAATCTGAAAAATTACTACTTCGTTTTGATTAAGGACCAACGTTGGTCTCCTTTGAAATGCATTGCTGAATAAATTGCTTCTTCACACTTTTGCAGTCCAATCTTAGTAACTGTAATTGTAGGGGAAATTGTTAAAAGTGTATTTAATTCATTGTCAAGATTTTATTGTAAGAACTACCATATAACAGTCTTTTATTTATTGTACAGTATTTCTTTTGTTGAGATACAAATACATCCAGAATATAAAGATTTTTTGTTTGGAAAATATAATATTGTTATAATTCTTGTTACAGCAGTTCTTTTATAAGTCAATTATGAATTTAATAAATTCATTTTTTTTATATAATAAAAGGTATTTTTATTTTTATGGCAAATTTAATATTGTCGCAATTCTTGTTTCACTGATTCTAAAAGTCAATTAATAATCTAAAATCAATTTTTTTATTATAAAATTTTTTTTTGTATAGCAAATTTAAAATTGTTGTAATTGTTGCTACACTGGTTCGAAAAGTCAAATGTAAATATTGTTAGTCAAATGTAAATCTATCCTATCTATTATTTCATTATCAAGTTGATTTCATTTCTTCATGTATTTTGAAATTAGGTTGAATTCTTTGCTGGCAGACGAAAGTCTGATGGTGTAAATATTCAAACATAAGTCTAAACAGCGAGGGCGCTAGAGATTTCCTAACAAGGGCCCTGACAAGAGGTCCAAAGCCCTGTCCCGACTATAAACTTTTGTTTGACAAAAAAATGCAACTTTCCTAAATATAGTCATGATGACATCACATATATAGGCACATTGTGACTATATATGGCATACATACAACAGTTTTTTTTGTCAAACAATATTGAGTCTGACAGAAATTTGAAAGAGTATACATGGCATTACAACAGAAAATATTGTTGGATGATAATGCTTAAATAAATAAATGTTTTTAACAAACTAGGAGCGATGTTTTAGAAGAATTGGTCGGCCTCGAGGACTATGCAAACCATTTTCTACCGAATGCATTGCGCACGTTTTTTTCTCACGTTCAAACGCCCAGCGAAAGAGGTCCGTACCTACATACGTTGATCGAAATGTTTGCAAGGAAGTTTATTAGCTGCAATCCAGACTGCAATTTAACAGTCGGTAAGTTTTTTATTACTCGACACTTTTTTAGGTTTTTCTTCCTTGATTGGTCATTTATAGGTTATAAGTTGCTGCACACCAACTTTGACATTATGACCCCTCGAGTGACCCTAAATAATGCTCTGAAGCTTTGAAAGTTGGCACATTTGGGAACACTTTTTTTGTTGTTTCAAATGCTTAGGACGAGGCCACTGATCGTTGTTCTACGTAAGAACCAGCACATTATCAGGGCGTAGGTTTGTTCCAGCCTGGGGGCTATGAAAAATGAGAATGTGGAACTAAATATGGGAGTGTGGAACTAAATCTCTACTCCAATGAAAACTTAATAGTTATTATTAGTATGTTAACCCATTTAACTAATTTGCTGCTTTAGGTGTGGTGGAGCCTATGCAAATGATTTTTATGTATTTAGCATGTTGTGCAATGCATGATGGGATTGAAATAATATCAGTCTATGCAATTGTTGTATTTTTCAGATACTATTTGTGTTCTTTGTTACTCCTTGATGTTATTGTCCATTGACCTGACAAGTCCAAAGGTCAAGAACAAAATGTCCAAACGAGAATTCATCCGCAATCTTCGTCGGGCAACGCAAGAAGTTGATGACGAACTCTCGGGACACCTGTACGATAACATTTATTTGGTCGGACACATTGCTCCGCAGAAATGGTAAGAAGCAGTAGGTGACCAGATCTGACTATTGAACGAAGTTCCTACCGATTCTAAATTATATTGATCGAAGTCTTTTTTTTTTAAATTATTGTTATGTTTAGCACACATTCAGAATGTGATGAAAATGGAAACATTTTCGTTTAAGAGCTAGGCAAAAATTGGGTTTTATATAAATGCTTACAGGTTTTTTGTGGCGAATTATGTATATTGTGAATATTTATTTAGAAATTTTAGAAGCTGATTAAAATGTTGTCGATTGAGAATAAGAGTCAAAAAGAAATGCAAAATTAATTCTAGATTGTATTCATAAATGAAACACCTTTATCGTACATTTATGACTTTATTAAAAATGTTAGACAAATCTGAAACATTAAAAGTTAATTGTATAATTTACATTGGGGTGTTGTTGTGATGAGCTTTAAATAGATCTTTTGTTGTTATTATTATTATTATTATTATTATTATTATTATTATTATTATTATTATTATTATTATTATTTGTATTTTTATTAATATTATTATTACTATTACTATTATTATTTGTATTATTATTATTATTACATTATTATTATTATTATTATTATTATTATTATTTGTATTTTTATTAATATTATTATTACTATTACTATTATTATTTGTATTATTATTATTATTACATTATTATTATTATTATTATTGTTATCATCATTATCATTAGTTTTATTATTATTATTAGTTTTATTATTAATTGTTATTTTTATTACTATTATTTTCATTATTTTTATTGTTTTTTCTATTTATAATATTAATAGTTTCATTATCATTTTGTATTTTTATTACGTATGTACATAAAACTCCTCTTTCATAGCTCTAGTTTCCAATTTGCAGTTGATGTAGTAATAATATGCCGCCCTCTATACCACAAAAGTTTTTATTTGGTAAATGCTGAAGTTTGCCTGAAAAAAAAAAATATTATGTGATGGCTAAAGATATACTGTTTATTTTTTATCCAAAAAAAAACCAAAAAAAACCTATATTTCAATTAAAAATAAGTCATATTTTTTAATTCCCTATTTTGTAACAAGTAAGCTGTTAACCTTTAAAGAAATAATATTTTCTTCTGCAAACAGGCCATACATGATCTCAATCCAGACATTTGACAAAAAAACTGTCATATGCCCATTTATAGTCACGATTGCCTATATATGATCTTGATGAGATGTCATCATGACCATATTTTGGTATGCCATATGTTTTTGCCAAATATATTTTACTAGCATAGGCTGTTAATCTGCAAAAACAGATTGTTTCTATTTCTGCCTCATTTAGAGCTGACAAATTATTTAATATTTTTTTGATGTCTAAACAATCAAATATTTTAATTGAGGATTTTTTATTTTACCACAGGTGGTATTTTTAAAATTTGTTTGATGATGAAACTGTTACGGTAGTCACTATCATGACGATTATTATTCATATTATTATTATTATTATTGAACAAAAACTGCAAATTATTTAAAAACTTAATTGTTTTTATATTGTGTAGGAATGCGGAAGTACATTACACCCTGTTTTAAGTACATCATACCTTGCATTCACCAATGGTTTCAGGTATATAATATACCAATAGTTTTATTCTCTATGCTTGAACAAATGTATAAATATCAGCTTTGAATGTAATAGTCTTTTTTTATGCAAAAAATGTCCCAAAAAAAATATAATGTCATCTATTCAGGCTTTACAATCAATGACTTCAGTTTCAGAAGATTTACAGAAATGTATTCTTCATTGTTATTTTTATTGTTACTATTGTTATTGTTTTTTTGGCTATTATTAATATTATTTTTTGACATATCTCATTTTTATGCAAAATAAGTCCCGTAAATTGTGTCATCTATTCCGGCTTTACAATCAATGACTCTAAATTCAGAAGAATAACTGAAATTTATTCGTCATTGTTATTTAATTGTCACTATTGGTATTATTTTTTTCAATTATTGTTAAAATTATTATTTTTTAACATATCAAATTCTTTAAGGAGTGTCAAAAGTCGTAGAAATGCTATATAATATTTCGATGGACCTTTTCTGAGTTGCAATTGCACTTTCCAACTGACCAATCAGAATGGTGAGGGCCAGGATTTTGCCAATGTTCCACAAACCACTATTCAGCCAAACGCTTGGTTTCCATACAATTGGTACATGCTATCATACTGTATTTCGGTGATGCTAATTAGTCGGTCGAATCGGAGAGTCTCCTTGGTTGCGCCGGGGACTGCTGCGCAGTACAGCGATTCTACTGAGAACACTGTCGCAACAATGGAAACCAGTCTTAATATGTTAACCACGAATGTTTCTTGTTTGTGGGAACTAAGAAGAAGTATCCAAGGGGTGGGCTTAAAACGATCGGATCGGGCTCAGCCTGGCCGTCAGGATTCAAATCGCTGGCTATTTATTGCATTTGTGCCCTTATTGCAAACCACATTATAAGTGTTTCTCTTTAACCAGCAGTTTAAATTTGTAGGCCTACCTGATAGACTGTTCTATGTACTGATCTGAGGCAATGCACTCACCCACACTTTGGATGCTCCCAAGGGAGAAGAACAGATTTCAGTTTATGTTTGTGGTCATGGATCCAATGATCAGGGGTACCTAACATTGCTATCACCTCCACATGGGCTAGGGATAACATAAGGCGCTGTAGCTAAACATTACTCGATACGAACGCTGTCTGAACTGGCAATGCGCATAAAGGCATGTTTATACTTGCAACGATAACGGATAAAAATCTAAAAAGCAATTGTTCATACAGAAAATGAGTGAAGTTTTTACACTAGGGTGATTCGATAACGATTTATCGTGTATCGATAACAAAATGTTTTGTAAAATAAATTTAAATGACGTTATAATCATGGAAAAACGATAAAATCGTTGTTACTACTACGATTTTAACGTTTTCCATTATTATGACGTCATCTGATTCGATTTTGTCAAAATATGTTGCTATCGTATACACGATAAATCATTATCGAATTGTCCTAGTGTAAAAACTTCTCTTATTTCTTTTATTTTCTATACCAGTAACAATTGCTTTTTAGATTTTTATCGTTATCGTTGCAAGTATAAACAGGCCTTAATTCCGGTTTCTATTCGTAACGATGTGTCGTTTATTAGGGATGTTTCGTAAACTTACGAAAACAATATTCTGTACACGAATACAGATACGTCTTAGTGAATTCATCCCCTACAGATGCATATCTGTCACAACGAGACGGTCCATGCTTTTTATATAAATCAACGATCTTATTCAGCTCGTATATGTATTGTCAAGAATATTTTAGGTACAAATGACGATAATGAAGATGACGTATTATCGTTTTTATAAGGTTGCGAAATCTCTCCAATGCTAATAATTATGACTTAATCGATTAAGTAATAAGCCTATGATGTGATAAAGTGAATTTCTGTATCATCAGCTAACTCTGCACGTGTTTGCATAGAAATTATATAGATACCACTCTATCTTTTCGCATGTACTATCTTGATGTGTTGTGTGACGAAACTTTTAATAACAAATTAATAGAAATATATATGATGCAATATAAGGAAGGATAATGAAAGTAGTTATCAATCGAGTCGACTTATTTTTTGTTGCTTCGTTATAATTTATTACATACAAAAACAGCATACAGTACTCATTTGCCTTCGTTATCTATCATTACTTTTCGTGTCTTTGGTTTGTAATTGTCATGTATAATATATTAGCTTATTAATTGTTATACCAAATAGCAGTTTTAAGGTTACTTGTCAGACAGACCTAAACGTATTCTATTTATTTTTATTTATCTATTTAGACACACAACACATGCACCAATGATTGTCAATAGCAAATATATCACTGTCGTAGTGGCAGTCCCTTGCACAAGACAAACATACACACACAATGCTCAGTAGGCCTATAGCCACAAACTAAATCTCAATATGAGGTTTGGTGAGTGGAGTTGTTTTTGGCAGTGAGAAAAAAATCCTACAACAAACCTAGAAGTCCTGCAACTCTGAATTGGAAATACATGCAAACTTCTCAGTACTACGGAACTTCCGTAGTTGCTACGGACAATTTTGCCGAATTACGGACGTACGGAATATACAAAAATACTATGGAAATTTATCATAGGCCTAGATCCATAAATAGATAAGTCCAGAACAAATTACTAATTTTGGTTGCATTGTACCAAGACAACTCATACTTGTCGATTTACTGATTTAATTGTGAAAACTAAGAAAATGTGGCCCGTAAATCTTCATCCAGACCCGTTTGAAAATTTCTACAGCTCTTAATATCCTGTACAAGTAATTTAAGCAACCCATGTTTTGCACTCAAGACAGATTATTAGGTGCTACGTAAATTGTGTATTTACTACGGACATTATGAAGACTTGGTTACTGAAATGCTAACTTGAAAAGTTTGGATGCAGTACCTTGTGCAAGTGAGCCCTCATTCAGAGCAGTTTGTGTCTGGGGGGTAAAAGTGCTCGGGGCTCTTTAGGCCATTTTAAAGCGGTTGCGACACAGTTTAAGACTATAATATATTACATTATAAAGCGCAAAGAATAACATATTTCAGTCCGTCGTGTCTTGACCAATTTGGGTGAAGGGGTTGCTGGCTTGGCCTGGTATATAATAAGCAAATGGTATGCTTAGCAAAACTTATGAATATTGAACCTTATGATTAGTGAAACTTATGACTAGCGAACTTAACCCTTTAATAAACATAATTTTTGAAGTATTTAGTTTCCTTTTATCCCTTTGTCCCTTCTGTTCTTCCCTCCAATGACCTCTAACTCATTCTCATGTGTCTGCTGATTTAATTATAACTCCGGCCACATACTTATTATGACCGTTTAACAAATTGTCAAAATAGTTCTGATATTTTTGTTCAACATAATGATTTTGGGATTTTTTTTCTTTCATTTTCCCGATATTCTTATCTTTTCTGACATATACCGCATCGTATTTGACCGCTAATATGAATGCAGGTGTGAAGGAAAACTTGGGAAGCAAAGCGATAATTGATTGCGCCATGACTCGAGTAAATCGCAATTTGCCCTTGTTATTATTTTTGTAATAACCAAAATCGGTTATTTTAGTAGTAAGGATGGCGCTGTTTGTCATAATTTACGTTTGTGATTCAAAGAGACAGAAGACAACGCGTCAAGTGATAACGCGTATCCTCAGGCCACTTATAATAGACCTAGTGATCACATGCCTTTGTTAAAAAAATACCCCCCCCCTCAAAAAATTGCAAAAACCACATTTTACCTAATCTATTAACTTGCTCATTTTGAAGTAACATAAACATTATCAACTTAAACATAGCAATTACAGTAGTGTACTTAAATAAAATGTTTACCAATAATTTTAGAGTGAAAAATGATTAATTTTCTAGTCTTTGAAAGTGTTTTTATCATTTTTTATATTTATCCAGTATAAAAATCAGGGCACACATTT